GAACCTACAGTTACTCTCCAAGACTGAGACCCAGGGACACGTCTGAGTTGTTGCCTTTCCCTGGGGATAAGAAATCTGTTGACTAAAGTACATCAGGTAAGTTGGGGAAATCATGGATTGGGACGTAGCCATAATTTTACACGGCACATGAAACCGAGTAGGTGCCCCGCACAGCAGACACGTTATTAGTGTGTGGAGCTGTGTTATTAGTGTGTGGAGCTATGTTAGTAGTGTGTAGAGCTGTACGTCCCGTCAGGGTGATGACTAGATCCACCAATGAGGTCTGCAGTTTGCCCTCATTTGAGATTTATCTTTATTCTCAACCAACAGGTTGACTTTATGCAACCAACCCCAAAGTTGCATAAAGTCAGGTTTCATACTAGATTAAGTTTCTTTTAAGGATGATAGACCGTATTTTGGCATGTATAATGTGTTCCGGTGTATATCACTCACCCATGGTTTTGGCCCAAACCTTCAGGATAAAAATCTTTTTGTTTTAATTTCAATTCTTTATTTATATTTTGATACTTGTTTTTTGTAGTATAAAGGAATTCCAGCATTTATTTTTTAACATATTATGGTACAAGAAATTATATATACCAGTTACAAAACACAAGAACAGATACAAGGTATTTCAGATGCTACCCATGTGTAATGCACATCCTTATTTTTCCCTAAAAAATTTGGGCAGAATTTTCTGTGTGCATTATACACAGCAGAATATGGTCTTCTCGTGCCTGGTCTGAGCCCTAGGCTCCTGCGGATACCGTTATAACTATGGTATTTCCTAGTAGTCAGAGTTGGCTTGTTTTTAGCGTTCATTCAATACAACTGATCCAGATAAGAGCTTTGAGAGCTTATTACGTGTGATACTATACGTACAACAGAGAGTTGGACAAATGTTAGCTATTGTCTCTTTGGGGAGAATGGAAGTGGGTTTGTCTCCAGTTGCAGAGGGACAAGTTTTTCTCAGGGGAGTTCAGACAAAGCTGGTGCTTGAATGGAGGGGAGGGTCAAGGGCAGCAGTATTGTGTTCTGGCTGCTGCAGGAAGTGGGGCCTGGGGAATGCCAGCCGGGTGGGCCTGCCTCGCCTGGGTATTAGCCCATTTCCTGGGACGACTGAAGTAGGCAGCTCCCTAGTGACCTTTTAATCAGATTGCAGTTGTCCTTTCACTAGAGTGAGTCCCCCTAGGCTATTTCTGGGAAGACTACCAGCTTTGAAACTTCGGAGGACTGCTTCTGAATGTCTGCTTGCATATCGGGCTCACACCTCACACATGGATGTTCAGCCACAGGGCTGACCATGAGAGTCGAGGAGGCAAGAACTGACTCTTCTGACAACCAAACAGGCCTCTAGCGAAGCTGTAGACGTCAGCAGTTCCGATCACGGGGTGGCCTGGGTCTTTCTTCATTGTTCACTTAAAGTAGTGTTTTTTAAAAAATATTTTTTATTGTAGACAGGGGGGAAGGGAGGGAGAAAGAGAGGGAGAGAAACATCAATGTGTGGTTGCCTCCCACATGCCCCCAGCGGGGACCTGGCCTGCAACCCAGGCATGTGCCCTGACTGGGAATTGAACGAGCGACCCTTTGGTTCACAGGCCAGCGCTCAATCCATTGAGCCACACCAGCCAGGGCTAAACTGTTATTTATTTTTTTTAAGGAAATAATACCTACATATGGTGCTACATAAAAAAGTACGAAAGATACACAGTGAAAAGTAAGCTCCCTCGTCCCCTTGACTCTCTGTCACTCAGTCCCCGCCCCCCCCAAGTGGTCACCGTTTCCGGTTTCTTTTGTGCCCTCCTATTAACAGCCTCTGCGTCTGTGACTGTGTTCACTGCCAGTTTCATCCACGGAGACGTCTTCATGAGCAAGGCAGGTCATCCAGATTGAAACTATGGTATGAGGTTGATTTACTGCTTAAACACCTTAATTACTGTGTAAACAAGCACAAATATTAAATAAAATATTCTTTCTCTGGCTGCAGTGGCTCAGCGGCTTGAGCACCGGCCTGAAACCATCCCCGCTGAGCAAATAAGTAGGGCAAGCGCTTCTCCAGTGACTTCCAACCTCAGATCAGCTTTAGAAGAACTTTATGGCTCTGTGGCTTTGTGATTCTGTGCGCCAGCTTTTATTTACCGGGCTGGGCTTGGGAAAGAGGGGGCTCCTTGGCGGTTGCCCTATAGCAGCAGGTCACTCAGCCCTTATTTACTTTACCCCACGGGGTGGGGGGGGGGTGTCTCTGAGGATTTTCCTGGAGGAGTGGCTCTCACACTTTTTGGGCTTAACACCTGTTTACATGGGTAAAAATTACTGAGGACCCCAAAAGCTTACATGTATAAGCTTTACATTTGTATATCACATAACTTACCATATTGGAAATTAAAATAAAATCTCAGCACATAATAAACCCCAATTTGGTTAACAGAACTAACATTTTATGGAAAATAACGATCTTTTCCAAAATAAAAGAACGTAGTGAGAAAAGTGACATTGTGTTACATCATTGCAGAATTTCTTGATGTCTGACCAATGGATTCCTACCATGCTTCTGCATTTATTGTAGACAGGGGGGAAGGGGGGGAGAAAGAGAGGGAGAGAAACTCATGTGCGGATAATCAGAAGAGCTTGATTTTTTTTTGGTAATCCTACTATGTGCTACATAAAAAGTCTGGCCAGATACTGTTTTAGGGGAAGCAGAGGAAGAAAACTCAGTGTCGCACGGATTGGTGGCCAGAAACTGTTTTAGGGGAAGCAGAGGAAGAAAACTCAGTGTCGCACGGATCGGTGGTTAGGAAAGATGAGCCCTCGTGGAGGGCAGGGAGCGGCTCGGGGAAAACCCCAGGGGTCCTTAGTCTACTGCCCAGAGTCTGGTTTGTTCCCTGAAGTAGACTTTAAGCATCTTGAGGGCAGATAATGTTTCTTTCTCCGGTGGATCATTGAATCCTAGATCCTGGCTGGCTTTGCCTACAGTTTTCATGTGAACAGTGTGATAAAATGTTTTTGACAGATTCACTGATAGAGGGAGCTATTGGCCAATAGTAGATCACAAATATGAAACCGAGATGAAGAATTTTTCTCATTTCACAGAGGACAAAACAGAACTGGTGTCTGAACAGCCACTTCCCTGAGCTCCTCCGGCATCTGCTTCTCAAAAAGGCTGCTAAGAAGGCAGGACGAAACTGAAGACTTAACGGGATCAACTTAAAATAAAATATTTGCGTCGATTTAAGAAACGGGAAAAAAAATCGCAATTGTTAAAAAATGAAAGCAACATAAACATCCATTGATAGATGAATGGAGAAACAAAATATGGTATATACATAAAGTGGAATATTATTCAGCCCTGTGACATGCGCTCTAACATGGATGAAACTGCAGGACATCATGCTAAGTGTATTAAGCCAGATACAAAAAGACGAATGTATGATTCTACTTACATCAGGCGTCTAGAGTAGTCAGACGGATAGCAACAGAAGGTCGGCTGGTGGTTGCCAGGGCTGGGGGAGGGGAAGTGGGGAGCTGGTTGGTGGGTCTGAAAAGTTCTTCAGACTGTGTGCACAGCACTGGGAATATATAGAACACCACTGAAACGTACACTCAGAAGAGTTAAGATGGCCCATTTTAGGTTGCATATATTTTACCACAATTCAAAATAAATTTTAAAAAAGAAATGGGAAGAAAGTAGGGGCAAACTTTTCTCTCTACTTTAGCTCTGTCTGACCTCACCCCTTCTTTACTATTCAGTTTCGTTGTATAAGTGCTCATCGAACACATTCTGTGGATAGGCACAGGTCAGCTAAACAGCGCCTGTTCTCCGGAGTTTGCCCTCGGTTAGAGGGTTGGTGAAAATACACACACGGACAAGTCCAGTGCTACAAAAGATACATGGACCAAATGAAACCGGCCTTGGCGAGGGAGGTGCTTGAACTGTAATTCAAGGATGATGGAATTTCTGCTGAGCTGAGTCATTGGGGAGCAGTATGAGCAAAGAGGTGACTAGGTTCTTATCTTATCAGTCAGGTCAAGGCTCAGAATCATGTTTGAAGAGTTGGTACTGATGTTAAAGACTGTCAGTCCAACTTCATGTTTAATTCAAGAACCCATTCGACCTGATGAAGAAAGAAATGAGGGGGTAATGTGAGGGGAGAAAGTGTGATGATTGCAAGGAAGCATTGGATTTGGATTCTAGATCTGCTTTCCGGGCTTTGTCAAGCTCCTTAACCTCTCTGAGGATTGGTTTACTCTTCTATTCCAAGGTTGTCTCCAAGGTTGCTGCATGCTGGTAATTAACATATGTGAGAATTCTTGGTAAGCAGTAGAAACTCCAAGTTTATCTCATTATTCTGGCTAATTCCTCTTTCAAGGTTCAGCTTGGGACTGGCTGGGGGTGGGGGAAAGTCCAACACCATTGTGCGCTGTACCCCCACACTGCATTGCATGGCCCATGCGAGCCCATCTCCTCAGCAGCCTGTGAACCCCCCAGGGGGTTCTGATTGGTCTCTGTAACCCCAGGCCCTGGCACAGAGTGCTGGCTTTGAATATCACACCATTAGACGTGGAATCCTACTTCTGCCACTTACTAGCTTTGTTGCTTTGGGCAAGATCCTTAACCTCTTCCCTGGGCCTTCTTTCTTCAACGGCAGAGTGAGGGTGATCGTTAAAACTACCTCATGTGCTGTAGTGAGGTTTCCAAACTTAAAACTCATACAGGAATTTATAACAGTAACTTACTATTGCTAAGAGCTGTGCATAAAAAGATAACGCTGTAAATAGCTACAGTCTTTTCCCAAAAGGGTCACGTTCTCATCAGAAAATTCTGCTGAGCCCCTGGTGACTTGACCCCTAGCTCTGGGGCTCTGGGGTGAGTGACGTCCCTCAAAGGAGCAGTAGCCCCAAGACCCGCCAGGTGAGGGCGGAGCTCTGTCTCTTGGCCCTTGGAGGGGCGGAGTCGGCGCGCGGATCACGTGGGGACGCGGGAGGCGGGTCCTTGCGCGCGCTGGTCACGCGGCCCGCGGTTGACACTTCCGGGTGGGACCAAAGTACGGCTGTGGGACAGGGGCTGGCAGCCATGGCGTACAGCGGCCTGACAGTGCCTTTGATCGTCATGAGCGTGTTCTGGGGCTTCGTCGGCCTCCTGGTCCCCTGGTTCATCCCTAAGGGTCCCAACCGGGGGTAAGTGCGCCAGGCCTGCCTGGCCGTGCGACGCCCGACGAGGAGCGGCCGAGCCGGGACGGGGAGGGGGAGGGGGCGACCCTGTACCGCGGGGACCCAGGGGAGTGGCCCCGACTCGCCTGCAGCCCCCGATTTCCTAAAAGCGGTAGCTGCAGTGACTCCTGACCGGAGCGTGAGGAGGGTGACTTCCGGCGGACCATTCTTGGGAAGGAGTTTTAGGGGAATATATATTTTTTATCAGGTCCTGTGTGGGGACGGTGTAGTCGGAGTTTATACCAACCCAAGGAGAAGTTGGGGTTTGGCCTTGGACGATTCTAGCCTTGCTCTCCACCCAAATGAGGCCACATCTGCCTAAAGGGACGGGCCGAATAAACAAGAGAAATTGCCCTCCGCTCTTCACATGTTGTCGTAGTTGCACGGGACAAGCCCAGGCCTTGCGTCTGGTGGGCGCCCAGGAGTAGCAGGGGCGCGATCTAAAGCGAGATTATTAGGGAAGAACAGGAGGTATTGTTTAGAAACCCCTGCGTCATACCGTGTGGGGGGCGCTGCTGTCCTGGAGGGTGAACGTAGAGAGTTCTTAGAATGGTAGGTTAAGATACTTTTTCCCATGTTAAATAGAGCTTAATCTATCTTATAAGTAAACTTTTATAGATATCTTCAAAGGAGTTCGAGCACACTTTTTCTTCTCTGTTTTCTTTTTTTGTCTTTTAGTTCCTCTTTTGCCTTTTAGTCATTTTTTCTCAGGGCACAGTCATGTGGGGTGAAACTTAGACCTAAGCCACAGTTTGTTAGAAACACCCTTTGTTTATTCTTTGACATTAATTGGTGGCCTCACAGTGCCTTGCGTGCAGAGTAGACATCCAGTAAATATCTGTTGAGTGGACAATTCTGTTGCCTTTAGTAAAAGAAAGGAATTACTGTTACTTCCTGAACCCCTTTTGCTCTCTGAAATAAACTGTTATGAGATCTGTTGTTTCCAACTAGTTTAAAAATAAAATGCGGTTTGTTTACAAAGGAAAAATGGTGCATGAATTTCTGTCACTTGGTAGCATTAGCTCCCCCTTACCTCCCTCCCTCCTGTAAAACACCAGTCATGTAGGGTCACCTTTCCAGCCTCTCATAGATGAAATAGTCAGAATTCAGGGGCTGGTAAAACAATTTGTATGATCCAAATGTAATGTCTTAGATTTGCTTCTCCTCCTGGAGTCAGAGAACAGTGAGGTACTTCTTTGCTGTGTTTCTGTCTTCAGCTATTACTGTACTGTCTACCTTTCCAGCCTTCATACTGAGAAAAGCATTTATTAAAGTGCTGGTAGCATTGACCTCTCCTTTTGTTAAAGACCCCATCTGGGGCCCAGCCTGCCAGCCTTGGGACTGGCACCCACTGCTGTTACCCAGGCTAACAAGTGCCTCCTGGCATGGACGGCTGCTCAGTGTCTGGCCCTGGTGTTACAATTCAGGTTTGACCTGCTCGTGATATGCTATTCAGGTCTAAGCCACAGCCTCCACCCCGGTCCTCGTATTTCCTGCTCTTGGCAGGATGGAGCAGGTCTTAAAACACAGTGTCTCCCAGGAGTTCCTGCATTGCACTTTGAGAAACACTGCCCCTAGCTGGGTGATCCCTGTGACCTTGGACCATTTACTTGACTTTCCCACATTTCCGTTTCCTCATTGTAAGATGGAAACATTAGTGCTGAGTTAGTGCTAGTTTCCCTTTACCTCCCGAAGAGACTGCAATTTTTTTTTTTTAAATACATGAAGGAGCTGGATTGCTTCAAGGACTATTGTGAATTTTCAAAACAGGAAAGCCTTTTTGATTTGAAGGATTAAAACACCTTCACTGAGGAGATAGTAAAGCGCCTTCATAAAGATGCTGCAGGTGAAGGGGAGAAGGAGGGCTTTGCTGTTCCATCCTCTTCCCTGCGTGACGCCTGCACATGCGCAGTCAGGACTTGGGGCGATGAGGTTTTCGGGACCTGTGAGGCCGGGAGAAGGCGAGGGCAAGAGGGAAAACTTCTGAACCTTCGTATAACCCAGCACCCCTTTCTCTCTCATTCTTTTCTACGGCCAGAAAAGAGGAGGGTAAACCTGTGCCGGATTCAGCTTCCCTGGCCCTCCCTGTCCTTTGTGGTTTCTCTCATTTCTCTTTAGGGATCCACACATCTTGCAAAGCTTCAGGTTTTTGACAGGGGCTCTCTTGGCAGTGGACGGACCGAGGGGGTGAGGGGAGGCACAGGATGGGTGGGCCAGGAATTGTCAGCTCGCTTCTTCAGTGAGGCAGAACATTTTCAGACATAGAAAAGCGGCGAGGGTGGTTCACCTGCTGCACACCACCATGGGGGCCCAGTAATCGTTACAAGTGCGCCATTGCTTTACCTTTGCAGACACGAGTGAGCGTGCACACACATCTCATAGCACTTTTATCTCAGACACCCTAGGGCCCCTTCTCCTCCTTTCCCGCTTTATTTTTCTCATCTGCACTGACTGACGTTCTGCATACGGATAGATGGTAGATCAGTCGACCCACAGACCTTGTTTACTGTTCTTGTTTGTTGTCTGCCTTTGCCACAGCCAGTAAACTTCTCCAGGGCAGGGCGAAGTTTTCATCCGTTCCCTTCACTCCCGTTTCCCCAGAGCCTGGGACGTGCTGGGCACTTAATGAACCTCTGTTGAGTGAATGAATGGACGTGCCGGTATATTAACCATGGACAATGCACACACCGAACTTCTAAAGGAGGAGTGAAAAGTAGAAATAGGAGTTCTGATACTTGCTTAGCACGTGGAGACGTCTCCTTGGACACCGCTCTTACGGATGGTGGAGGGCATCGGGAGGTGGTGGATGCAGAGCGGTGGATGAAGGGAGTATTTTAGGAAGACTGGTTCAGGGTCATTGTGCATAGAAGGGAAGGGAGGAAGTTCTGACTCTGCTAGCAGTTAGCCAGGCGAACCTGATACATTTTGGTGCTATGGATGGGGCCGGAAGGAAAGAACTGCACACGGAAGGATTCTCGGAGGACTACCCACAGTATTCCTGACTCAGGGTGCAGAGGAGGCGTGAGCAAAAGATGACCGATTTGAGGCTGGGCTGGGTGGGTGGGGAGGCAGAGCTGCTTCCTGGAGCAGGAGGTTCCGAGGGGAGCCTTTGGAAGGAGACAGGGGAAGAGATTAGCTTGGTTGCAGTTTTAGAAATGTTGACATTGACCAGGCCTGAGACCCAGGCTTACCTGGAGATGGGGAGAAGGCTGGAGAAATGTGACTAGAGAGTCACATTTTTAGAAGTGTGTCATTTTGTGGTAGGTACCCACGAAATGGGGTAGTTATTTGGGTATCTAAACTAATTGTCACTGCGGATTTTGTGTGTTCACTTTCAGAAGGGTTTGAATCAGACCGATAAGCTATGGCATAACCACATAACCCTTTAAATAGAAATAAATGTGTAATCACTTACTCAGACCCCTACCAGATGCACCCCAGGGTGCGCTGCAGCCTGTGGGTGGGTCTTGGAACAGATTCAGAGGCATTTTGTGGGGGCACAGTCCCTGCTGGTTTGATCACTCAGGAGGGGGACTTGCACCATCCTGCGGTGTCGGCAGAGTTTGCAAGTTACCTAATCTTTTTTTTCTTTTTCAGGGTTATCATCACCATGTTGGTGACCTGTTCGGTTTGCTGCTATCTCTTGTAAGTATGTTTCTCTCGTAAGTAGTTTTTTTCCTAACAGCGTAAGCGTTGTTGTTGGAATTTACAATGTGTGATGCAGAATGAAGTCAGTGGAGCAGGATCGTTGTGAAGCTGTACAGCCCTGTTTCTCGAAGCTCGTTCCCCTGTAGCATATAGAACTGGTGTCCGAAGAGTGACAATGGCACACTCTTATGGTCAGTAATTACATAATTAAATATAAGGATGGTCCAGATACCCTCTCCTCTGCCGACACTAGTGTAGTTTATCTGGCATAAGTTTAGAGTTCCTGTTTAGCCACTGCAGGGCTTTGTATTTCACTGTGGCGCAGTATTTGGCCTCATTTCACTTAAACATCTTCCTATGAAGTCGTAAAACCATGCTTTATTGTGATGTTTGTTGTTCATCAGGTCAACAGAAGTTGAGCTAGAATGGTAATCAAGTAGAATAAGAAGAGTTTTTTTAATTAAAAAAGGTTTTAGTTGAAAAGTATAATGATCAACATCTATTGGCATCGATTGTGTCGTTCACACAAACTGTGGAATGAAACTCTTTGAGGTCATCCCCCCACGGCTGTTTTTGGAAGATTGTTCGTCCCCCTCTCAGGGGTCAGAACTGCCTGGATCAGTTTGAAAGCTGCCCCCAGCTCTTGTCCACTTTCCCCGCTTCCACGGAGAGTGGAGTCAGTCCCGCTCCGGGAAAAGTCAGTGCGTGGGGGGAGGAGCCGCCTTGGAGTATTCCGAGGCCTTATGATTTCTTTCTTTCTTTATTGCGGTATATTTCACATACCATGAAATACATCCTTCTAGGGATTTCTTTTCAGGGTTTTGAACCAGTGATTGTTTTTTTAAATATTTTATTTATCTTTAGAGGGTAAGGGAAGGAGAGAAGGAGGGAAATATCAATGTATGGTTGCCTCTCATGTTCCCCCTGCTGGGAACTGGCCCTCAGTCCAGGCATGTGCCCTGACTGGGAATCAAACTGCAATCTTGTGGTTCGCAGGCCCGTGCTCAGTCCACTGAGCCATACCAGCCAGGGCAGTGATTCTTTTCTTGAAGAGCGCTTTCTAGCTTCCTGAGACTCCCTTGTAGGAAAGGGCTGGGGTTGGCCAAACTGGTGTTCAGTGCACGCACAAGGCAGGAGGCAGTGGTTCGGCCCCTGTGATGAAAGGCTCGCTGTGCCTCTGAGCCTGTCAATTTCCTCCATCTTTAGGCTTTTCACGGAGGTTTTTTTTATTTTTACTCTTTTCAAGATCTTATTTATTCATTTTCAGAGACAGGGGAAAGGAGGGAGAAACATCGATGTGCAGAAGAGTTGCCTCTCACACACCCCCAACTGGGGACCTGGCCTGCAACCCAAGCGTGTGCCCTGACCAGGAACCGAACTGGTGACCTTTTGGTTTGCAGGCTGGCACTCAGTCCACTGAGCCGCACCAGCCAGGGCTCAATGAGTTTTTTTTAAAAAACGTGAGGATGAGCCACTCCAGTTTTTGGCATGAATCAAAATCCACCCCCAGCAGTTATTACCGTGCACGTCAATTGTGTGGCCAGTCCTCAGTCACTCGTTCGCGTGTGACCCAAAGTGTTTAAAGCAGAGACGCAGTGCACAGGCGTGGCTAATTGATGGTGCTGTTTGCCTGCTTAGCACCAGCGCTTAGCAGATGAGACTCGAGTTGGCTGGGTAGCCTTTCGTTTTGATGGGAGAGAGAAGGAGGCTTTCGGGGTTGATCGCTCAGCCTCCAGAACGGAAGTGTGACAGGTGGCATGTGGAGGGAACCAGTGAGTGGTCATTCTTAACGCCAGTTGTGTTCCGCCCTGACGAGTAAGTGAGAGGAAGTACGTGCATCGTTTCTGGAAGGGCGACTGAGAACCGGGTCACGGCCCTATTGACTCTTTTACAGTGATCCCAGCTCAGGAGCTCTTGGTTAGTCCAAGAGCCAAGGACTAGCCCCGCCATTGAAAAGGCCTTCGTCTTTACTTCTCCAGAGATCTCTGCCTCCTAAGCAGTAAGGTCGGTGGTAGGGGCTTAAAAAAAAACCAAAAATGATTGCACAGAGGAACGACTTCAGAGTAAGGCAAGATGGGACAAAAAATGTTTTCTGACTTGCTCTTTCTCCACCTTTGACATTAGTTAATTTTCACGATAGCCTTTTTAAAACAACAACGTAAACACTTCTCCAATCAGTCTCCTACCTTTTGTTTTCATTTTCAAGTGTGAAGTGAATAACTGGACTCGGTTGGGAATGGTATCACTTTGAGTCTGTGACTCAGTGGGAACTGTCTGAGTCCGTACCCCTCGCTGTCAAGATTTTAGACCATTTTTGTCTGTTCCAATGAGCTCGTGCCGGCTGTGTTGGCAGCAGGTTGGTCTTGTCATCAGTGGCATCGGCGCATTTGCGAGAGCAGCGCCCGGAGCCCCGACATGCAGCGCTCCGTATGCGGGAATGAGCTGGTGGTACAGACTTCGTGCAAATAGTTCTTTCTTTTCCTTGAAACATGATGATATGTTGTGCTTATTAGCAGGTTATCTGTCTGAAACATACGGGTGGAATTCAAGCCCTACATGTTTTATATACTCGATTCTACAAAGGGGTGGGATTCTATAATAAATTAAGTTAGAAAGTCAAAGGAAACTTCGCTGTTTGGTAGTAAGTATCAGAGTGTTTTCTTGCAAAATGCCTCTTTTGAAGGAAGATACCCCCCAAAACTGGATATTCTAAACAAGATCATGTTTTGAAATACATTCATGGCCTTTTTAAAAATATATATTTTATTCATTTATTTTTAGGGAGAGGGGAAGGGGGGAGAAAGAGGGAGAGAAACATTTATCGGTTGCCCTTTGTACACACCTCAACTGGCGACTGACCCCACAACCCAGGCATGTGCCCCGACCAGGAATCGAACTGGCGACCTTTTGGTTTGTGGAACAATGCCCAAGCAGCTAAGCCACACTGGCCAGGACTGCATTCATGGACTTTCAAGCTGCCTTCTGTTTGTGGCAGTGTTTTGGTCTGTTTTCAGTTTGTTCTAGCTGAAGGTCAGAGTCTGTGGGGCGTGACATGTTAGAGCTCTGAATAGGCCGGGATCTCTGCCAGTGTGACCGGTTTGTGTTAACAGTCGAGCAGAGGAAAGACAGTTTCAAAACAAAAATTCACTGGGGGGCAGGCCGCGATGGGCATGCTGGTAGAACTTCCAAGAGATGTCACGTGAGGAACTGGATACCTAAGGGGAGATCTCTGAGGCCAGGAAGCTGCTGTTTCCTAAGGCGGCGGTGGTCCCCTGGGGCAGAGGCCAGGGGTGTTGCAGTGAAGGGGACAGCCCCTCCTCCCAGCAAGAGCTGTTCACCCCCAAATGCCAGTACTGCTGTGGCTGAGAAGTGCGCCCTAAAGGAAGAGATGGAGAGAGGAGAGAGGACGGCCAGCGTTTAGATGCACGGATGAGGAAGGGCCAGGAAAGGGTGCCCCTGAGCTTTCCCTGTTGAATGAGGGGGAGTGACCAGAACAGATGAAGAGATCAGAGGGCAGTGAAATCAGCAAGTGTACACCCCACAGGGGAGGTCAGTACTCCCCAGGAGTGGGAGAGAAGTGTCTGGAGGTGGCACAGGGGGAGCCAAGAAGTCAGTGCTTCCATGTGCAAAGCCTGAGTTACCTGCAGTTGTGTGAGTGAGTGCCAGCTGTCTAAGCAGGTGACAGAGCGTCCAGCAGACCCGGTGGAGGAAAGGGAAGGGCGGGATGTTGGATCAAGTGCTGGGATGAGCAGAGCAGGCGGGGGAGGCATTAGGATCACAGTAGATGGTCCTGAGAGGTTTGGGAAATTTTTTTTCTGGAAACAGTTGGAAGTAAACGAAGATGTGAGATGTGTTAACCTGAGTGGTTATAGTCCTGTTAGGAAGCTTTCCACTGCGGAGGGACAGTCAGAGGCTCTGGCCGTCGGGTACCTGCCTCCCCGGGCCACCAGCACTGGAATGGTGGGGTCAGGCTTTGTTTTGTTTCAGCAGTTTCGTTTCCCAGGACACTGCACCATTGATTGCTATGCCATTGATTGAAGACTTTGCTTTTCTCCATTGAATGGCTTTGGCATCTTTGTTCAAAATGACTGGACCGCAAGTGAGTGAGTCTATTTCCAGGCTGACTCTCTACTGTTCATTCATCTCTTTGTCCTGCCTTACGACAGTACCATGCTCTCCCGGCTGTTGTGGCTTTGTATTGAAATCAGGAAGTCTAAGTCCTCCGTGCTTGCTCTTCAAGGTTATTAGGCTATTCTAAAATAGCCATATCAATTTTAGAATCAGCTTGTCAGTTTTTACCAAAAAATCCTGTTGAGATTTTAACTGGGATTGCGTTCACTCCATAGATCAATTTGGAGCGAATGGACGTTTTAACAGTTCCAAGTCTTCCGCTCATGAACACAGCGTACCTCTAATTTATTTAGATTTTCTTTGTTTCCTTCCTTCTCCAACTTGGGGTTTAACTTGCCCTTTTTCCAGCTTCTTAAAGTAGAAACTTAGATCATTTATTTTAAATCTTTGTTCTCTTTAAATGTAAGAAGGTAATGAAATCCCCTTTAAGCGTTGCTTGAGCTACAGCCTACAAATTTTGATGATGCTGTGCTTTCATACATGGTGTTTAATTTCCCATACATGAAGCTTTTTCTGGATGTCGTATCAGGAGATACACTCTCTAAGATTCTACCCTTGACTGTTGGAACGTATTCATGGCTCGGCCTGTGGTTACCTTATGTCTGTTTCATGTGCACTTGAAAAGAACATATATTGTAGAATTGTTGAGTTTTGTGTTCTGTAAACGTCGGGCCAGGAAGTTCAAGTCCTCTGGATCCTCATTGAGTTGTTTTGTCTACTTTCCATTAATTACTGAGAGGGGGCGTTAAAATCATCAGTTATTGTGGATCTTTTCTGTTTCTTGTTTTAATTATTTCTGTTTTGTTTCATATGTTTTGAAGCTGTTGTGAGGAGCATACACATTTGTGATTGTTTTTTCTTCTTGA